TCTCTCTCTCTCTCTCTCTCTCTCTCTCTCTCTCTCTCTCTCTCTCTCTCTCTCTCTCTCTCTCTCTCTCGCGCGCGCGCGCGCTCGCACGTGCATGCTAGTCGTCTCTATGTCTCGGTTCCTTTTTCTTTTTATGCGTTTGTTTTGCATCCCTCCACTGAACCTCTCAGTTCCCTGCGTGCGGTGATGCGAGGAGGGGAAGAGTAGGACGGCGCTGGGAATGATGAGGATGGCGATTGCAAGGGGAGAGGAGGCAGAAGGTGATAGCAACAAGGAGGGGCAGACAAGGGCGATGGCGAGGGGAGGGGAGAGAGCACCCATAACTTTTTCAGGCCCGTGTGATAATCGGCCTCGGTGTTTTCAACTTTTTATGGTTTGAATTCTGATGACCGCTGTCTCTAGTGCGCCTTTCAAGCATCACACCACACCGCCCCGCCATATAAGGGCCCTGCGGATTGGTCCAGCAGTATCGCAGAGGAGGCAGACCATCGACACAGAGGAAAACCAATCGAGCTATGGCTTCCAACCCTCACTGTCAGACTGCTGACCATGTTCACATTACACACACCGCACTCACAACTGGCCCCTTTGAATTGCCGGGGAATAACTTCACAAGCCACACAAACCGACATTGTCCTGGAGGCAGCAAGTAATAGAAGTGCAAACCAGCCAAACCCAACATAAAAGGAGGGCCGCAGCTTGTGCACAATCAATTGTTTTTCAAATCTTTGTTTGATAGCTACTTCACCAAAATGGCCTTCTGTTTGTTGCTCAGTGGTAAATAGGCAACTTGGCCCAACAAACGACATGCCAAAATGTTTAAGTCAAATTGCTCAGGGGTAAATTGGTAACTTGGCCCAACAAACGACATGCCAAAATGTTTAAGTTAAATTGCTCAGGGGTAAATTGGTAACTACCTGACCTTTTATTGTTGGCCTTCTGTTTGTTGCTGCTGCTTGCTGCTCCTCGGGCAACGAGCACTGCAGCTGGACGCTTTGCGCTTCGCGCTTCACATACTTAAAAGAGCTGGCTACTGCTGGGTGAATCCCATGCACATTGTTTTCCAAACCCTGAATCTTAAAATATCCTTGACACTTTGGTACTAGTCAGTGGAAACTCGAAAGTTAATTTTTTTTATAGAAATCCAGGCCCCTAAGTCTCCGTCTAATCTTGCAAGCTCGGAAACACAGATGTGTTCCCAGCCAGCCGCGCAGGACTTCAACCGAATCGCAGCCTGAATAGTCCGGGTCGTTATTTGTGAGGAATGTTGGCACTGCAAAATCTCCACCTGTCTTTGGGGAGAGGCCTGGGGGTCTAATATAATAATATTACGTTAAATTTTCCGTTTCCGTCACTGAGGCCTGAGGTTTGGTAGCTTTGGTGACTCTTGGTCTGGAATTTGTTGTTGGGTTTGACAAAAATAATCGAAATAAATCAAGGAAATTTCAAATTTCAAATCGGTGATTTTAAATTAACCCAGGCGTGACCGTGTTCCAATGAGTGCGCTCTGCAGATCATTTATTCAACTTTGGAGTGCGCTCTGCAGATCATTTATTCAACTTTGGAGTGCGCTCTGCCGATCATTTATTCAACTTTGGAGTAGGTGGGAGTCGATCCCTTCTGAAGTTTTACTGTTTTACCGTTCACTGTTTTTGGCATGGAAAAAAAGAAAAAGGTCTTGCTGTTGACTGAGCAATCATATGCCCATAATTTAACGGGTCTGAGACTTTGTTTAAAAAAAAGGAAAAAAAAGAGCATGGTCTATGGAGTTGATGGTGATCCACCTTCATTTCCGGGATCATGTTGCCCATCGGGAAAAGTTTGGGTATTTCGTTGGATACCCCTAAAAACCCTAAAGGCTAAAACACAGGGTTACGCTGAAACGCCCCAAAGTTCTGCATCTGTGCCCCTCCCGCTCATTGGCAACTTTGCCATATGCCCTGGCCCTCGGTTGCAGGGGCCCGTGCATTTCTCTTCCCATCTTTCAGGGTCCAATGGCCTAAAATACAGGGGCATATAGAGGAAGTTACGGCAGGGGTATACCCAAAAGATGACAGGTGCGATTGCCGAATGGGGTTTTTCGCAAAGTTTCACTGCTGTCATAGGGGCATTTGGCCATACCCATGCCGTTTTGGGAGGGTATCTGACGAAATACTCAAACTTTCAGAAGTTTCAGGGGCAATTCGACAATTTTGAATTTTCCCTTCTTTTTTTTCCCCCCCAATTTGGACTGTTTCTCATTGATGTGTCTGTCTCGTCCTTGCAGAGCGGCCATGCTAATCTTCTCTTCTCTGTCTCTTTCCAATCTAACGGATGTCCGGAAGGAGATTAGAGAATTCTAGATAAATAAAATACTGACGACCTGCGGGAGGACCATTTCAACAAAACAAAACAAAAAAAAAAAAAAAAAAAAAAAAAAAAAAAAAAAAAAAAAAAAAAAAAAAAAAAAAAAAAAAAACTGACTTTGCTCAGTTGGTACACCAATGATCTGTTCAAACACAGACCTGAGTTTGAATCCCAATTGGAACCAGATTAGTGAAAAATTGAAAATAAGTTAAATAACTCTGAATTATTTCAATTAAATTCAATGAATTCAATTAAATCATTTTAAATTAACAAAAAATGAGTTCTGAGAACTTCTGACTTTGCATCTGCCAGAATTCTCCAATTTTCTGTCTTCCAGACTCTTCCCGACTTCCCTCCATACCTTCTGACATTTCGGCGCGACTCTTGTGAGGTTCTATGGGTTGCATTCTGGCTCTTTCGGAACTGCCTTTTTTTTTTTTTTTTGGGTCCACTTCTCCTCATCTGGAAGGATTTTGCAAGCATGTCGTTCTTTTTATCTCTTGCTTTCTGCAGGGATTCTGAAATCGGCGGTCAAGAGTGAAAATCAGGAGAAGGCAGCAAACGGTCCTCCTATATGCGCTAGCAGCAGCCCCAGAGCGGCAAGAGAATCGGGTGCAGTTGAGCATTCCAGGAAAGAAGTTTGCAAACCTGCGTCGTCCTCCGCAGGTCGAGATCGCACCCAGAGCATTGGTCGCGAGTACGCGAAAGTGCGGAAGGAACAATCAACACCCTCTGCTCACGAATCGGGGGCAGTTGACCATTCTAAGAAAGAAGTTCGTCGAACTGCATCGCCCGCCGCAGGTCGGGATCGCATGCAGAGCATTAGCCGCGAGTACTCGAAAGTGATCAAGGAAAAAGCAACACCGTCTACTCGCGAATCCGGGCTTGGTTGTGCCTTAGGAGGAGGGCACAGGTATACTGCAGTCAAGAATGGGGTTGGGACTGGGAGTGGCAGACCTGTAAATCAACTCCGTGGCACACAGACTAGTTATCCTTCAAGCAGAACAGGAACTGGGACGGGGACTGGGACTGGGACTGGAACTGGAACTGGAACTGGGACTGGGACTGGGACTGGGCCCGGGACGGCAACTAGGACTGGGACCGGGACTTGGACTGGGACTGGGAGTGGGACTGGTACTAGGACTGGGACTGAGACTGGGAATGGGAATGGGACTGATAGTGGCAGAAGTGCGCAAGCAGCTGCCCAACAAGCACCGCTCAAGAGATCTGCAGGCGATTGCAGCCGCCGTCTGCCAGACATAGGGTTTTGTCCCGACTCGGGAAGAGTGAATCCTTTGAGGCAAGTTCTGAATTCTGGCAATGGGCACAAACCAATTCATCAAAGCACTGTTAAAGCTGTCAACAGGAGTAAAGCAGGTAATTGTGCAGCTGCTCCAGGAGGAGGAGGCAGAGGAGGAGGTTCTACCACAGAAACAAGCAGCAAAGGTACACACAACAGAGTCAATGGACCTACCGGTTCGATGCCAACTGCAGGTAATCGTGCAGCTCCAGGAGGAGGAGGCAGAGGAGGAGGTTCTACCACCGAAACAAGCAGCAAGGGTACGCAGGACAGAGTCGACAGAACAACTGCTCCAGTGACAACTTCAGGAGCGAAAGACAGTCGAGGTGCAGGACCTTGTGTTAGTACGAACCCGCCGAACAGGAAAAAAGGGTTGGGAACTTTGGGGCCTCCTGGCAGGTTGGCGGACGCATTTGGTCATTTGCTTGGTAAGGTGTAAAAGATTGAAATGCTCTCATTTTCAATTTCGATGGTTACGAAGAAATTTTGTATCTCCTTCCTGTGTGAGTCATGCCCCCCCCTGCGGGTCCTTATTCCACCACCCCACCCCCCACCCCCCCCTCCCCACCTCCACATCCTTCCTGTAAACAATATATTTTATTATTTTTTTCCTTTTCCTATTCACTGTGGATGTGGCTTCCCATCCAGGACTGCTCCCCTTTTAAGTGTTAACCAAAACGGGGGTAAAATGTTATATATAACTGTGGTTGTATTTTTCCTATTAACTGTGGTTCTGTCTCTTTCTCTCATTCACCTTGCAACCAAACCGCTCCCCTTCAAGACCACCTACCTTGTTTCCTTTCTGTACGAAAATAAAACGAACCAATACCAAACAATCCAAACCAAACCAAACCCAAAAAAAAAAAAAAACGGACTGCCTAGCTTATTACTCAGGAAGACGGGACAAGAAAGAACGCAGCACAAAATGCTGCTCTCACCAATGTTTTTGTAAAACATTCTACCTGCCGTTGAGGGGAAAACATTCTACCCCCAACCGCCGGAGCCAAGGTCGGTCTCTTCATATGTCCGGAAGCCCACCTCCTCTTCCCCCCTTCCCCCCTCCCCGTCTTCGTCTCTTCTATGTCCCAAACCATCCGGACCTCCCATCGGCCCTGGTTTACCAGCAAGCTGTAGGCTTGATCCCTAGCAGTCATTCCGTAAGTCAATTTCATTCATTGATATTTTATTCAACTTGAATACCAACAAGTACCTCTCTTTTTCTTCTTCTTCTTCTTCTTCTTCTTCTTCTTCTTCTTCTTCTTCTTCTTCTTCTTCTTCTTCTCCTTCTTCTTCTTAGTTCTCCTTCTTCCTCTTCTTCTTCTTCTTCTTCTTAGTTCTCCTTCTTCTTCTTCTTCTTAGTTCTCCTTCTTTTTACTTCTTGTTCTTCTTACTTCTTCTTCTTCTTCTTCTTCTTCTTCTTCTTCTTCTTCTTCTTCTTCTTCTTCTTTGTCATCGTCTTCTTTGTCGGCGTCTTCTTGTGTTCCTCTTCATAAGGTCACTAGCATACCGTATGGCAGCTCACACAAATCATTCATGGTATGAAAGAACCCCAATCCCCGGCCTCATGTGCCCATACTCATGGTTTACGGATAAGCACAAAACACTCTTGAAAAGGTGAGAGACGGTTAACGGAGGCCTCAATTTTCAGACCACTTGTCAGGCCATTTATAACAAAACCCAAGGGTCATTTAAACCAAACTTGCCACTATAACCAGGGCTGAAAAGTGGGGGTCCCTGTTAACCGCTTGTGGGAAAGGTCCCACCAGCAACTACAGTATCCGCCTGAATAGAACACGTGGTCGTTATCGAATTTTGTATCTGCGACTGATAGTTCCCTCAAATACAGCTAGAATTTTGTATCTACGACTGTGCATGGTATTCGGAGGAAGGCGGTACCCGCTAACATGATATGGATTTTTTTTTTTTTTTTTTTTTTTCAAATGCTTACCGGATGTTCTTCGATTTTTCTCTTCTTGGTTTTCCTCCGACCCGAAGCTTCTTTAGTGCAGGCTAACCAAGTGGCTATCTTCTTTGTACCCCATTTAGTATCTTCTTTGTACCCCATTTAGTATCTTCTTTGTACCCCATTTAGTAGCTTCTTTGTACCCCATTTAGTAGCTTCTTTGTACCCCATTTAGTATCTTCTTTGTACCCCATTTAGTCTTTTTCAGCCTGGTTTTCCTCTGCCTGGTTTTCCTCCGACCCGAAGCTTCTTTTGTACCCCGTTAAGTCCGAGTGATGTCAGCCTCAGAGTGCCACTTTTTTTTTTTTTTTTTTTTTTTTTTTTCCCAAACTTCCTTCTTCTTCTTTGCAGAGTGCACCAGTTGGCACTGCTGGTTCTAGTCTTCAATAATAAAGCCTTTCGATTTATCAGTTGCACAAAAGTGAACTTGTGGACAATTTGACGTGATATTCTTACAATTTGTCGAAGGGCCGATTTTTCAGTACCGCGTATATCCGGACTTCTCCGCGGTCTCGCCGGGAGTGTGGCCGCATGGTTAAAAGCGACAGACTATCATATGTTTTATGAGCCTTGATCTGTTTTTCTTTTTTTCTTTTTTTAAGGAGGGGAAGAACGTCGATGTTGCGGTCATCGGACACTCTACCGTGAGCTCTCTGGCATTATCCGTCGGGGATAGGCTTGCGCTAAGCGACACACATCTGGCCACATGCTGCATGCTTCGCAAACAGTTAGCACGAGCGCGCCCTTGTAGTAGTACCCATTCTCGACTGCTAGACAAGAATTTCTTCTCTTTTTGAAGAAAAAAAGGAAAGAAAATTGTGGGAAAGGCCAAGGAGGACTGCAGGGATGAATCAAATGATAGTCTGTGTGATGTGCATGGCTTCCCTTGTAACAGGGAACGTAGCCTTCTGCCAACACCTACCGTTTTCACCCAAATAGAACCCCCCTGTCATTATATAGATGTCTAATTTGGGTCAACGTTGAGTCTGAATACACAGCGATAATGACCGGTCGTCATATTCGGGCGAAGACGGTAGCAAACTGATGGATCGCCATCGTACGCACTGGCATTGCCCTTCTGCCTGCATCATTGGCTCTACCCCCCAGTCACTCTACCCCCGGTTAGCGGAACTGTGCATCCAGGTCCATTCACACCGAGAATCCGATCTTTCTCCTATCGAACATAATAGACTCGGGACTTGTTCAATTATGAAATCATTACAAAAGTACGGTAATTCTGTTTTACGCGCTTGAATCAAAGTCTGTATTTTGTTTTGAGAAGCTTTGCATACCTCACCCGACAAGGCAAGGCCTTGAGAGAGACCAAGGCGTAAAATGAGTGTGAACATCTGTCATGAAACTTCTCCAGCATTGTCGCATATTGAGTCATATAATCATATTATCTTATTGAGTCATCATTCACCAATGAGCTTCGCTGCGTACACATGTTGTTTTTTGCACCCCCCCCCTCCTCTCTTCGGGTACCTTTCCCAAGACCAGGGGCATAGTAAGAAAAGTTTTTTTTTTCAGGCCGTTTCAAGGTGCATACGGGGAAAAAAAAAAAAAGAAAAAAAAAAAAAAGAAAGAGAGGGTGCACACGGCACAAACAATTCAACAAACAGAGTCAAAAATTTGTTAAATGCGCTACTTTTCTTTTTGTTATCTTGTTTTGTTTTTCCTTTCAGTCGTTCCATTTTCGTTTGCATGTTTGAATCGTTTTTTGAAGAGTTGGCCGATCAGCTTGTGTTGTGGGGGTGATGAAATTTACTATCATCCTTCGCTTTCCACCTCCCTCTGGAGTATTCCCATCACCAAGCCAGATCCTTGGCTTCATCCACTTCCTCCCCCCCCCACCTTTCAACTTCGTATGCGCCTTCTACAGAGCTTTGCGAATGCACTCCTCACTGGTAGTCTGTGGTGCAATGCATTAATTCATTTCACGTACAGACTGTACAGAAGAGTAGAATGGAGAACATAGCAAGTCCAAACGCCAACAATCCATACATTTCAAAGTTCACATCAAAGCTCCTGCACACTGTTATCAAGGAGTGTGTGCAGGGTGCAGGCTGGAAAACGCACCAGAGAATGATGTAGTTGGAAATCAGGCCGGAAAACGCACCAGAGCTTTTACGTGAACATTGGAATGCATGGATTTTTTTTGGCGATTGGCGAGCCGCCACCCATTTTGGTCCATTAGTAGGCTAGCTGAATTGGTGAGCCGCCACCCATTTTTATTGGAGATTGGTGAGCAGCACTATTCACTACATGAAATGTTGGAAATCTTCGCCCATGAAAGATGGAGTAGGTCGTTTGAAAGAAAGCGTCCACTGCCAACGCCCAGCTGAATTGCCTGAGCTGTACACACGCCATCTTCAGGGGCTAGCCTACCACACAGAAAAAAAAAAGTGCCGTATCGTTGTGTTTTTTTTTGGTGCACAGCACTCCTCGAGAACAGCTGAAGGGGCGGACGTCAGTCCGCTCGTATTCAAGTTCAGTGTGCCCCGCTAAGGGTGGACGACAGTCAGAGAGATGAGATGGTCGACTTTCATATGGTCGACAGCATCATCGTGCACGATTCGCACAGCACAGTTTGCCTTAAGAAAAAGAGGCTCAGACCTTGTCTGGGTTTCGCACTTTCACTGCGAAAATACATTTCAGGGCGAATTCTTCTGAGGACACGTTTGTCCTCCTTCACGCTCTCAAATGAAACAATCCATGGAATCCTTCATTCAACACTTTAAGCTTTACACGGAGGGTGTGTCTGTACCAGCTTCTTCTACATACGCCTGTGTAGAAGCACCCAAAGGAGAATTTGGTGTATATTTAGTTAGCAACGGAACCAATTGTCCTTATCGTTGTCAAATTCGAGCACCTGTTTTTTTGCTCATTTACAAGGGCTTGATTTTATGTCGAAACATCATATGCTCGCAGATGTGGTTACTATCATAGGTACTCAGGATATTGTGTTCGGAGAAGTAAATCCCCTTCTTCACTGGTGCGATATTGCTGGATCAGGCTTTTGCCCATTGTCCAAGATACCCCACTGCTGCCTCCCGTAGGAGTCTGGGTCAGTCCCAGTGTGGCTGATCATCCGAAAAGACCAGCCAGGCATCATCGGCTTGGTCAGCCATAACGTAACCAACTACCTAATACTACTCGGGCTCATCAAACAGCGCTAAAAGCTTTGACTATCACGCTAAATTGACTATCTAGACTGTTTGCGATTTTTTCCCAAACTGTTTGGTAGGTTCCCACGCGTTATGCACCCGTTCGCCACTTTGTTTTCAACTGAGAAAACAACGTTCGACTTGCATGTGTTAATCATATCGCTATCGTTCAGTCTGAGCCACTCAACTGCACGCCTCTCTCCGTCACTGTTTTGCATTAAACAGGTGATACCAGGTGGATACCTGATTTTGCCGACCCTGTTTTCGCCGACCCTGTTTTTGCCGACCCTGATTTTCACTGCGGGTACTGTTGTTTTTTTTAATCCTGGTACTCTTCTGAAAAAAAAAAGAAGAAGGACATGACCAGGCTTTCAAAAAAGAACAAGCACGGCCACAGAAAACAAAAGGAGGAAAAACAAACACCCCTTTGGACGTGATACCAGGTGGATATCTACCCCAAAGTAGTTGTGTGAGTATGCCCTCAGTCAGGGCGTCACCTGTGTCAGCTCCACAGAAGAAGAAAAAGGAGAAAGAACAATTGAAACTAAACGTAGGGCAGGAAAGCAGGTTCATTGCATTCTGCAAAGTAGTACTGTGGGTATGCCCTCCTCCACCACAAAGTGTCGGCATCCCGTGGACTGCGCCCTGCCTGGCTGGCAGGACATCAAAACAAACGAAAGAACGAAAACAAAAACACAAACAACGAAAAACTAAAACTGGCCGCAATAGTAAAATATACTTTCTTGTGACTTTTGGTGTGAGTACAACTTCGTTCATGGCCTTCCCCGACATGGCTGTACGTTTTCACTTTACTGTTTGTTTTTCAGACTGGCCCACAAAACCCAACTGCTGAGCTTCGTCTGGAAAAGATTGGAAAACTTCAGAAATCTGCTCGTCCACCCTCTCTCCGCTGCCTTGCAGCCTTTGAAAGGTCTTGTGTCTGCTCCTTCACCCTTTCTCCACCCCTCACGACACTTTTCTCCTTCCCAGTCCGCTGGGGACTGCATTGTCGCTCATCGCTTCGAGAAACTCCGCCATAACAACTCCTCCTCGTTAATCAGATGTGTTCTTCATGTCATCAATCACCGACATTCTTCAAGTCGTTAATCGGATACATTCTTCATGTCCTTACTCGGCTACGTATTCTTCATGTCTTTTACCCAACTACGTTCTTCATGCCTTTTCCCACGAGCTCGCCCCTCAGTCGACCCAAAAGTTGCAGGCAGCCATGCGCGCAAGGAGGCTGCAGCTGGATGAACTGTAACGAAATGGTCAAATTTGTTGAAGCCCTGGAGACATAATTGTTGGTGACTTGGTGCCAGTTTTTTCCCGGTAGGTAGCGCAGATCTCGAAACAGATGAGCAAGGTTCAGTAGGCCTTTTTTTGGGCTTGACAAGCTAGAGCAAGCCACCACGAGATGTTGCGTCTAAAGCTTTCATAATATAGTATCCGATTTCGAAACTGGAAAATTCTGCTAACGCGCCTCGATCGACAGGCGACCGAAAATTTGCAGCCATGCACGAGCACGCCGCAGAGGAGTCCAGGCTGCTGCAGCAGGCACTTCTACAAAACGACGGTACTGTAACAAAACGACCAAATTTGTTGCGGAAATTAGTGTCGGTGCCAATTTTCCCACAGAATGGCGAGGTTTCGATACAGATCGGCAAGGTGAACTAGTCCATTTCTTTTTGGCTCTACGAAGTAGGGACTGCCAAACTCATGGGTGAATGGGTTTAGAGCTTAGGGTTTTAGGGCTTGGGCTCACTCTTGCCTCCATTTGAATGTCAGGCTCCTGCCAATAATAAGAGCAGTGAGTGTTTGGACAGCGTCAATTCTGGGATCACCTGGATGTACCCCGGTTGGCTTTCGGGCAGATTTGCACAAATCTGCCCGAAAGCCAACCGGGGTACATCCAGGTGATCCCAGAATTGACGTTGTCCAAACACTCACTGCTCTTATTAGAAAGCCGCATTATGCACACATGATGGACATCACCTGCATCTTCTATTAAGAAGCCGCAGGGAAGATGTCCATCATGTGTGCATAATCGGGCATCTTTGCCAAATTATGCACACATGATGGACATCTTCCCTGCAGCTTTTCACCAAATTCTGCGCACGCTGCACGCTTTGAAACCACTCCACGGTGCATCGGCAGAATTGAAATGGGGCGCGGTGGGCAGATTTTTTTTCTCTTTTCCAGAGGTGGGCCTAGTTTCACTCCAAGGCATGGGGCATTTTTTCCCAACTGGCCCTTCGGAAACCCTATCGCGAGTCTCCAAAATTTAAGGAGAATCTCAATCACATTCTCAACTTGGCTGGGGCCACATACTGGTGGTTTAAACATTTCGCCTGGGGAGAGCGGTCGCAAGGTTGAAGCGGTCTCATATTGATGGGGGCGTGTACGAAAGGTGGAAGGAGCATGCGGTTTAAAATTTAAATCGATACAATTCACAAAACCACATCATCTATGTGCCTGCACCAACTTCTGCAGAGTCATCACTAAACCCTAAACCCTAAACCCTAAAGAGAGGTCATGCGTTCCAAGATTTGGCAATCCAAACACAATGCCATCCAGTACATGGTCCACATCTGCCCCATGTACATTTTTACCAAATTCTTGTCGGCGCAATGTGAACGCCAACCTGCATCCCTACAGAATTGTGCAGCGCAGAAAGCACCCCCCCAGGCCCCCACCCCCCATGTCTTCACCGGTCTTCTGCAGAGTCCTTCCTAATCCATACTCTCCCTTGCAGGGAGGGTACCTCTCATGACAGAGGGTGGAGAATAGTTTCCAAGGAGAGCCAGTGAACTCCAACCAGGAATAGTATGAGCTCAAACCAGGAGTCCTGCATTGTTAAAGAAAAACACTTCTCACACCAAATGCAATGAACGGAATCTTTGGGGGACAAGGTTCAAGTCTTCCTCCCTCCCTTCGCGCAATCAATGCAAAAATTGAAAGACCACATGACAGTTAGAACCCCCTCATGCCCGCCCTGACAACAATCAATGAAGAGAGCATATGAAACTGGGACTCATAATCTCTATATCCAAACACCACCCCCCCCAGAAGAGGGAAAGATTGTTACACAGCCAGGCAAAAACAACAGCATCTTCTCATCAGGGACCTCTTCACAGGAGGCGGCAGAATTCAATTTCAGAGGAGAAGATGAATTGCGAACCTTGTGAGTTATCTTTCGGTTCTTTCCCACCCTACCGTCTTTACCCGGACAGAATGCACCCTGATAACGAATGCATACAAGCTTACTTTCCAGTCGGATACAGTCAAAATGAGGGTGCGCTGTGTTCGGCGGAAGACGGTAGCAAGCTATTTCTATGGGTCAAACAATCAATGCCAACAGGATCTTCTTCCCCTGTCAATTCACCTAAGGAAAGCACATCGACAAGCCGGAAAGCGGTGCTCGAAGTTTCACAGGACCGTTTGCCAATATGTATGAATCTAGATTTAGGGCTTCGCCACAGGGCACACGAAACGAAAAACGAAACGAGTGCATCTGCCTGCAGAAAATGGCCAGGTTCGTCGGTTTGCTATAAATATTAACGAACGTATTTTGCCAGCTTTCGTGGGCAGATGCACTCGTTTCGTTTTTGTTTCGTGCGCCGTGCGGCGAGACCTTTAGATTTTGGCAAATCAAATCAAAGGTGATTATTCATCTTCAGGAACATCGATAACAATTGGAACATACAAAGCCAAGCTAAGCAGCAACACCCGCTCCTTCATCGGTGCGCGGGCAGATGGATGGTAGTTATACTTGTGAGTATTTGTTGGGAATGTAACATATATGTTGTGTAAAGGTCTTTTTTTTTTTTTGACAAATCAAAGATAATCAGAGCATATTCACACACTCATGCAAAAAAAAAAAAAAAAAAAAAGTGAACTTTGCCGCGTTTGCTACTCCCAGTTTGCCATTTTGCTGTGCTGCACAGTCGCACATGGGTAGCAAATTGGAAAAGACAATGGCACAATATCCCGACACCCTGCCATTTGAGCCCACTTGTGCGGGGCCAGAGGAGGGGGAGAGGGCGGGGGTGCACACTGCAACAGTCGTAGAGCGATGTAAGCTCGGGGGGCGGGGGAGAGGGGCGGGGGGGGATTGCCAAGTGATAGCAAATTACTAAAAAAAAAAAGAAAAAAAGAAAAAAAAACTCAAACCTGCTCTCCTTCAGGAGGTAGGTGACATTTGCCAGACCAATGGCAACTTGGGCGGGCGGTCGGGCAAAGTGTGACTGGAAAACTTTGGAAAATGTTTGCTGTTTTGCCAAAAAAGAAACTTGAAAAAAGCCCCTACTGCGAGTAGGCCCTTGCTCCTCCTTTGAAACATCTGTAACATTGGAATGATACACAGAGGCATGATCCTCCAGGCTTCACCCAGCCACCGTAGTACATAAGTTCAAAGTGAATTTGGACTTCGTATCGGTCTACGTGCAACGGTAAAAGCCTCCACATTATCCACATGTAAATTACGCTAGGATGCTCGTATCACCTCCAATAGCAGGTTGCCACACATGTTTCGGTTAAGGGAAAAACAACAACAACAACAACAACAACAACAACAACAACAACATCAGACACCCCCAAGTTTGGGCCGACATCCTTCACATCCCACTCCTTGTGGTCAAGAATTGCGCTGACTCTTCGCATATACAGGGCCTTGCTCCGCTACACAACACTCTACATGCATTTGGTCAATTTCTTGACCAGATACATTCAAAATGGTGGACTCGTACGAATAGACCTGGTCCAGAGTGTGCCTAAATGCATGTACAGTTGTTGTGTAGTGGAGCGAGGACCACAGGGAGCCATGAAACTCGTTTGCTTCAGGTAGCCATCTAACACCAAGACTCACATATGCAGATCATCAGCTCACTGCAGAACATTCGTTTGGCAACGCTAACTACACAGTCTCTAGTCAAGAAATTGTCTTGTCCACCTGCTGGGATCAGCTCACTGCAGAACATTTGTTTGGCATTGCTAACTACACAGTATCTGGTCAAGAAATTGTCCACCTGCTGGGACCACCACCATCAAGAAATTGTCCACCTGCACATCATCAGCTCACCGCAAAACATTCATTTGGCCGCTCACCGGGCATTTAGCGGCGCCGGCGCTTACCTGATGTTTGGTGGGAGGACTAAACACACACAATCAGTCAAGCCATAGCTCGCCAACGAACATTGCAGGCAAGGCGCCATGTCACTGCTGGGGGGACCACCACTGCCCAGTACACACGCTTGTCAAGAGCAGGGTCGGCCTGCCAGCTCAGGGAGGCTGGCAGCAGGGCGAAAAGTTCTGAAAAAAATCATCGACGTATACTACAGGCTGAAAAAAATCATCGACATATACTACAGGTGCTCGCTCATCTGTTATACCCATGCTGCCTGCCATGCGGCTGAGTGGTACACCCATGAACTGTTGAAAAGCCATGTTGCTGAGTGGTACACGGACCATACACCCATGAAAAAGATCACCAACGTCCTTTCTTTAATCTTTTTTTCTTGTTTTGGGGGCATAGACGTATGTTCGAATGATAATGCATGTCAGATAGAAAAAGAAAGGGGAAAAAAAAAACAATTAAATCACCCAAAAATGGACAGCAAAAACAAATTCTGGAAGCAAAAAGTAGCCATGTCTTTGTCCCATGCTATTAGGCAACAGGCCCAAAGTTTTCATACCCTTTTAGGTTAAGTGCCGTGAAGAGTTCGGGAAAGCCAATGGGTTTTTCGACAAAGAATGGAAGAGGCTGACGCAAAGCATTACCCGTCCATCCACCTCTTCGGCAGCGGTCGCCCGGGACACTCGGGACTATGTAAGAAGGTTAACAGTGTGAGTAAACACTTTGGGGATTAAAGTGAGAAAAAAAAAGGTCAAGTTCCCCACTCCAACAGGCCCGGCTCAGCTGGTGGCACATGCACCAACTGTTGAAATACAGAACCAAGATTATCTCAAGATGCAATCAGATGAGCAGAACAAAGTATTTCTGAATTACCTGGGGCCAATCAGCTCAACAACAATACCTCAAGAGTTGCTATGCTATTCTCGGATCCAACGCAAGGACGGGCCGCACAGGAACACATATTGACCGTAGGGCTGCTATTATCAAATCCAGCTCTGCCTCTCCGGCAGGACCTGATTCGTTATACCTAACCCATCCACTGTCCTCTGGAGTGCAATCAGGCAGGGACACACTTTGGCTGCCACAAGGCTGCCATCTCCCCATCCAAATTCCCCGGATACCCCTGATCAACCTGAAGCATACCCCTGTGATGCATCCGGCGATGCGTCCAGTAAGGGCAACCGCAACAATGATGCCAGAAGCATAGGGGTATCCCTTCAAGAGCTTGCAAACGGGGGTTCAACCCCATATGCAGCTGCACCCAGCCGCACCCAACAGGTCTTGGTTGGGTTCGGGTTGCTGTAAATGGGATTGGGCTGGGTGTATGGCGCCAGGTGCCACGGGATGAATGCCGACCGTATGGGTCGATATCGAGAGGGGAGGGCAGATAATAGATATGGGGTGGGTAGGAACAGGTGTGGGAAGGATTTTCATGACCGCGGCAAAAACCTTAGTCATGCATTACTATCAGTAGCCTGTTTTAAAGTTTGGTATCATTTTGTTCACTGCCTTTCCTCAGTGGCTGCTCTCCCCACAGGGCCCAGTTCGGGGTGCTCAAGGGGGGGGTTTCGCTTACTGTGGGTAGGCCAGAGACGAAGGATGACTTTGACCAAACCTCTTCCGGAAACACTTGCACAATGGGTCTCGCTCCACATCTCTCGAATTGTGCAAAACGAGAGCCAATGGCGGAACAATCTCACGTCTTTGACTGGACACTCGCTCGTACTCGCCCACGTCATGTTGGCAATCAAATCGAATCTAACGACTTCTGCAGGCACATTCGTTAACAATTTTGTGTTCAAATGTTTGGCCCGGTTGCGTCACACATGCCCTCGGTACAAGTGACTCATAGCTACTCCATAGGGCCTAGGCCCAAAACTTTCATGGACTTCACTAAAAATGGTGCAAACTGAACGTTCCTGCAAAACAAGAAAGTTCCGGGGGGGGGGGGGGGGGGGGGGGGGGGGGGGGAGAAGGGGGAGAGAAGACAGCATTGTCATGTAGTAATAATATGATATGATAAAGACTTTCAGGTGTCTCGTTCATTATGTACTTTCATTATATAACTAAACGTGCAAGTGCCTTTTCTAAGGTTCTGACTCGATACAGACTTGAAGTATTAGTCAGGCGGGTTACAGGTTTGCCCCGGCCTCGGTTCATTCGTGTTGTTAATAATGAAAAAAAAAAATGAAAAAAAAGGGGTAAAACGGGCAGGGTGTTCGGTACAAAAGTTTAGGTGTGGGTGGGGCTGACTCCAGGTACAGCAACTTCGCTACGCCTCGGTTGGATTCGACGTGGGTGTTGGTGGGGGCGGGGGCGGGGCCGGGGGCGAAAAGAAAAGTCACGTTTGCAAGCTCTCATGTATCCAGGAAAGGGCAACTGCGAGAATGAGAGCAAAAGAGCAAAGGGCAACTGCGAGAATGAGCAATACAGAAAGAACAAGTGCAACAATGACAGTAGAAGACTACACTCATGAAGCAAGACAGACCCAAGCGACATACATATGGAGGGGTCGGAGAGTCCCGAGTAGGCGCACACAGGATGGTGGGTGGGAGGCAGCAAGGCATGGGTGGACGGAATTGACACAGCTCACATGCCACTGGACCACAACCTGTTCCTCTCCTTTAAAAAGGAGTGTATGCTAATCCTCCTAGGTACTTTATACATAAGAGTAGAGAACTAATTGAGAACTAACCAACCTTTCCATGGCGTGAGCAGCCATGGCTCGGATCATATCACAGCTGTGCTGTACATAAAACACATGATTTGCTGAGCCCTTCTTCAAGTTCTTCTCTCCTTGTCTACTACAATGACACCAGAGCATGAGAAAGATATACCTTCCCGAACAACAAAAATACCTTCTCGCCATTCTCGGTACAACTCCACTCTCTCCCTCTCTTTTTCCCCTTTCTTACACTACAAAGAAGCAAAGCACAATCCCACACCTATGGGCAGTATGAGCCCTTGCTCTCGACAAAGACTCCCAGAGCACATGCACCTCTGGTTGACTCTGACAGTCACCCCCACCCCCACCCCCACCCCCCCCCACCACCCCTTCCTTCCTCTTTAGCCAGAACATCTGTAGAGTTTGACACAGTACCACAGAGGAATCGAAGCTTAACCCCTCGATCATCGCGTATGGCGACCTCTTTCTGTCTGAAACCGTTATGGAAGCCCTCGGTTGTGACACTGTCATTGCATGTGCAATCACTGCTCTCCAGACTGTCCTTCGGATCTAAAAACACTTGTGCTCATCTAATAGAGAACCTGATCGACAAGGGAAGAACAATTCTCATGATGCTCAAGAAACAGAATCAGCCCTCCCTCTTCACAATAACTTCTTCACGTCCTCCTGCACATCATACAACATAATAGGGGGTCCAACAGAGGGGGTCAGTTCAGCCACTATTTCTGGACAGGAAAGACAAAGGCCACATCACACAGAGGCATCCGCAAGGAGAGTATCAAATGCAGCATTGTATGCCCCCAACACTTATCAGATGAGATGTCACTTCTCCACTTCATCTGATGCCTCCTTCCGCAGAAGCAACAGAAGACAGAGTGCAAAATTTCCAAAGGCATGCAACATAGGACAGACGTCTGCTGAGTGCCGAGACCCCTCGCAAGGCAGTACACCTACTCTTGGCATGCATCGAGTACACCTACTCTTGGGATGCATTGAGACCTCCTAGCATAATGATATCGCACGGCATTTGTTTCCTCTCCCGCATCAGAAAACATTGGGCGAAATTTTTTTTTTTTTTTAAATGGTGCTCGCTCAGGCCTCACGGTACTTGCAGGCAAAAGAAAGGAAGGCGGTGAATGACTCCCAAGTTCACTCGTATGTTCTCGTCAGACTTGTCGAGCTACTAACCCATTTCTACTGAGTGGGGTGGTAGGAATCTCCATAGGCTACACAGATCTCAAAAGGCTTCAACCCCTTCAAGCAGTGAATCACTCTTCACGAGTGTCAAGTGAGTATGGCCTGACAACATTCACATTCAGACCTTAGCCCGGGTCGAAAGATGCGGCATAAAGGAAGACAAGACAGTGAAGACTGAAGGAGCGGAGGAGGAGGAGGAGGAGGAGGAGGAGGAGTCAAAAGAATGTTTAGACAATGCCTAGTGGCAGCTTGGAAAGGGTGGTTAGCACGAGTCGAGAAAGGATGCGGCATAAAGGAAGACAAGACAGTGAAGACTGAAGGAGCAGAGGAGGAGGAGGAGGAGGAGTCAAAAGAATGTTTAGACAATTCCTAGTGGCAGCTTGGAAGGGGGGTGGTTACCTCAATCTGCAGTGGTGACGTGGTTGGCGCATATCTGTGCACAACGGTGCCCTCCTTGTCAACAAGGAACTTCCCGAAGTTCCACTTAATTTCATCAGTGAGAAGTCCTCCTTTCTGCAGCTTCAGCCACTTGAACACAGGAGCGGCATCATCGCCATTTACATCAACCTGCAGCAAACAGACACAACAACAGAGTCAGGAGAGCTTGCATATGCTTCCCCTGCACACTGTCTGCTGTTCCCCCTTCACTTACCTGTTGCCACTTCGCTGTCTTCAGACAACGATGACCACTTCCCTATCAACGCAATAGACATGTGAAGACCTGAAAACACAGTGGATGAGGAGGGAGGGAGGGTGAGGAGGAAGACAAGGAAGAGGAGAAGGAACAGAAAAAATGCACATGCATGTATACGAAAAGAATGACAGAGAAGTCAATTCTCTTCAGCAGCAAATTTGGCAGGAGCAGCAGTGCCGAAGCTCACCTTTGAGAACATGGGGAACGTTGTCCCATAACTCTCCGCAAACTTCTTGATCTCCGCGTTCGACTTTGGCTCCTGGCCTCCAAATTGGTTGCTCGGGAAAGCCAGAACAACGAAGTCTGTAACCACCAACAAATCACGAAAAGTTAAGCAACCCAGGCCCACCCCAACATCCATAGAATCAGTTTCTTCATCACAGCACAAACTCGCTCCTTTGCACCAAAACTGCCCACGCTGATTGCAGTCACTGACCTTTCAGGAATTCACTGAATAGCTCTGTTTTTCATGGCGATCACCAGTGTTCCATGTGCCAAATCACCCGCCTATATTCCCCTCCCCACCCCTCTTCCCCATCTCCTCTCTCTCTCTCTCTCTCTCTCTCTCTCTCTCTCTCTCTCTCTCTCTCTCTCTCTCTCTCNTCTGTGTTGAGGAAGAGGGAGGTTTACTTTCAGCTTCCGCATTCAAGATATTGCAGAATTTTCTTTCACGCTGATATACACATGACCACCGTCAAATGAGCAGCAATCAACTGACAAGATAACAGGAGCACATCAGGAAAGGGAACAATCAACTAATGGAAAGAACAAGGCATAACCCAAAAGCGAAAAGCGGAAGACTGCTGGGAAAAAGCCATTGGTACACACATCCATCCATTCGTTCATTTATTTTCCGAAAAGGGTGGCAAGAAGTGAAAACACTCCACTCACCCTGATCCTTGTACTTCTCGTAGAGCTGGACGAGTTCCTTGTAGTTCTGATTGGTAAGACCGCTGGTAACAGGTACACCACAAAATCGGACGGACAACATATGCATGCCATGGGTCAGACAGGCAACCTCCCTCACATACAGCCATGGACGGATACACAGGCCGAGGTCCCACTGCTGCTCGTTTCCCTCGGGAGGCATGAACCAGATCCATACCTTGCCAAGTTCACACTAACAACTTAGCACCAAAAAAAATCACCAAAAAAATCGCACCAGGGACGCCTAGCCCTCTCGAGGCTTCAACTTAGAAGGTCCAAACTCTTTTGGTGCTTGAACTTTTTTTTTTTTTTTTTTTTTTTTTTAAAGGGCGACAGCCTTGAGATATTATCATTGAGGTGGCCGGCCCTAGTGGTAGGTTTTACTTGTCAAGTTTCATCATCTGGATTCGAACACAGGTGTGTATTTCAACAGTTAATCTACCCACTGAGCTAGACTCTCGGGTTGTCACATTGCTGTTCTAAGTCTCTCCAGGACCGAATTTCCAAACTCTGGCTCTCTGTTCAGGGTTCGTTCATGTTTGTAGTAGAGGGTGGTCCACATCGTTCGCAGATGGTTGGAAACACATGCCCAGGCTCTGGATCAAACCCGACAAGTGATTGCCTCGCGCTCATTTTGAAAACTCTGCATCCAATCAGAGTTCGCACTCATGGTTTCAACCTCCAAAACATTCACACACTGATTCAAACCCACGCTAAGGCTCTGCCCCAGGTCCTGGCTATAACAGTTGGTTAAAATACCTCGCTCTTGAGGGCGAGGTCGCCGGTTCGAATCCGTGCTTGCACGGTGGAGAACGTCTCGCTCATGCTGGGATCGGTAGTGCCATCCTGTATCCTCAGCTGTTGGGGAGCTAGATGTGCAGATTCACTTATTACCTTCTCTGCCCCAATCCCCACAAGTGACTGGCTCTGGCTCAATCCCAGTCCATACTCAGGTTCGTTGAACTGAAAGTTGCATTCCCAACTCAAAAAAAAAAAAAAAAAAAAAAGAAGGCCTGGTAACAGGCTGAGGAGCTTCAGAGGCTGCCCCAATTTTTCTGCCAACAGCTATTCAACCACCAGGAACCTGCCCCAAATTTTTTTCATGTTTTTTGAACTTTTTCTAAGCTATACTATATTCTTCTCTCATCTATCTCATCTTCTTGCTAGTACTCATCTATCGCATCCTCTCGCCCCGATCTCTGGAAACAGCTATTAAACCACCAGTGCCTTTGAGCCTCTTTTTGCCACGGCACATTCCCCGTATGCACCCAAAAAAAAACAGGACCACCGTCGCAGTATTTCTTTAAAAAAAGAAAAATAAAACAAAACCCAGATTGTCGGGTAACACTGTTCATCCCAGGAACCCAGATTGTCACATTTTCGATTCTCAAGTTTGCTTGGGCAAGCCACTGATCGTCTATTTTTATTTATTTTTAATCCAATCCAAACGACTTTTTTTTTTTTTTTTTAATTTGGACCATTTTTCGGTTTATGCGTGTCATCCTTGCGCAGGGGCCATGCTCATCTTCTCTGTATCGTTCCAGTTTTAACGGATGTCCCGAAGGACTTTTATACAAGCCAAGAAACGGGCCCGTCGTCCCTCACATACGTAAGATACTGGTCCTTGACAAACTTTACATATTTGAAAAATAGAAAAAAATAGCAAAAATACTAAAATAGTAAACTAGTAAAATACGGTTTAAAACTTTTAAGTGCCCATAATATAAACAACGTGCACCAGCAACAGCCTGTGATCCACCACATGCCTCAGCTCAAGCTCAGCTGAGATATTCAGCACTGTCTACCGTCGTCGTGCATCAACATAATAAGACATATGCACCTGTGAGGTGTGCCAATCCTCTACCCCAACATAGACCCAACACTCTTTCGCGGACGGGCTCCACTGATTCTACAATTAAGTCAATCTGAACACGAACCGGTTTAGCATTAAGACCAGATTCATCCCTTACGAGCACAGACATTGCAATGGCGGAACCTTCCCCTCACTCACCATAATACTCTACCTACAATTACGCAAGGCTACCATGAACATGCCCAATGACAGATAGGTAACAGAGGCTTTTTTTTTTTTTTTTTCAGCGTTTTCCATGGCTACACACAGTGGCCCGGGGGCCAAGTCCCACTAGCATGAGTTTGGTTTTGATTCCTATACCGGTGCGGCACGGTGTGGTGGGGGGTGGCACCGTGTGACACCATTTCTAAGCTTTTTTAGGAATTCTAAAAACCGTGTATAAGGGTCCTGAAAAATTATGATAATCTGAGCTGTAACCAAGTTTATTACCATTAAGCAGACCATTTCTACTGAATGGTCGCTCAAGGTGGTGTTGAAGTACAGTTGAACAAAGGATGCTCTGCTAGATGTCTTAGGAAGTTTCAAGCACTGGGTGTACTTACCGCCGGATCTGGTCACCATTCGTTTTAACTCCGGACCACTACTGGAGTTGGTTTTTTCCTCTTTTTCCCTCTGAGGAGGGAGTGCATTCAGCTTTTTGTCGCTTGCTTAGAATGCTTGGGCCTCATTTGCTTCTTCTCCGTCGGAATCTCCGTCGGACCTTCCCCGGTGTGGCAGAGAAAAGAGCCCCTAGCAGACAAGATGATCCCGGCAGCCCGGCGCCCAGGCATTTTCTCATCTCTTTTATAAACTGAGTACCAAACCAACCAACAGAGGAGTGAGCGGGGGGGGAGAACTCTTTTTCGTGTAGAAAGGCTAAAACCCTGCAACAAAAAAGGCTTCTCCTGCAAAATTCGCCACGCGCATTTTTTCAGGGTTTCCAGGGTTACCAAGGCCTGCCAAAAGAGTCATTTCCAAGGTTCCAACAAACACCTTGAGGACGCACATAAACCTTGACCTAGCGAGACTTAGGGCAAAATGAGGAAAATTTGCGGAAAACTTAGGGATTCGAACCCTTGGTACGTATAATACCGTACAACGGATTAGCAATCTGTCGCAGAGGAAACGTTTTAAACCACCACTACCTTCCTCATATATGGGGCTGCAGACCTCCGAATTCAAATTTGGACGCCGTGAACCGCGCGCCGATGAAAATTATCGACGGCCTCCCAGCTGCGATTCTTTTTCGGATGAGGCTCAACTTGCCACTTCGTGTGACAGTGAGAAAGGCAGTGGTGCTTTGAAGAAGAGAAAAAAAGTTCCAATGCCTATCTAAGTGCTTGGGGGATTAAAATCTGTGGGCTGAAAAGTGAGGGTCCCTGTATAACCAACTTGTGACCGCTTATTACCAAGCTGTGCAACAGTGCAAATGAATCTCATGCTTCAAAGAAAGTTCTTTTCTGAATGATCCTCAAAACTCCTCACCTTCTGGACATTTCTGTGGGAGACCGGTTGCTCAGACGTACTGACATTCTTGTCAGAAGTTTGGACTGATAGTCTGCTAGGGATGCAGGGTTGGTGTGAGTAATGTGGACCACTTTTCTCTCTCAAGGGTGGGTATAGCTAACTCTGGGCGTTGTGGTAGGTTCTTATCCGTCGGTCAAATCCATCCTGGGTAGACTGCCAGGTCTCAACCTCCTGATGGTCGGTGAAAATCCGGTGAAACAGTCTGGCACAGTCATGCCTTATTTGTGGGGTTTTGCATAGTGAACACACGACAACACACACGCACACACACACACACACAAAAAAAAAAAAAGGGCGTGGAAGGGATTTACACAGCAGAACTCACCACTGGGAAGCGACATTCACGATGAGAACGACCTGTGGAGAAACACAAACGAAAAAGGAAATCGGGAGAGAGAGAGAGAGAGAGAGAGAGAGAGAGAGAGAGAGAGAGAGAGAGAGAGAGAGAGAGAGAGAGAGAGAGAGAGAGAGAGAGAGNAGAGAGAGAGAGAGAGAGAGAGAGAGAGAGAGAGAGAGAGAGAGAGAGAGAGAGAGAGAGAGAGAGAGATCAGTCAGCAAAAACGAGGTGTGATGCTTTGAGTGTAATAAAAAGATGTAACGCTACGTCAAATCCTAAAAAGAAGGGAGTCAACACTCCGCGCAAGGCGGGTGAAACAAGCACGCGTGCGCACAGACACACGCACATCCAAACAGGAGGGAGAGAGAGAGAGGGAGAGAGAGAGAGAGAGAGGGGGGGGGGTTCACATGTCTAACTCAATAACAAGTGCATATTTGATGCTATTCAAGGAGAAAGTAATTGATGCTCTAATTAAACCATGAGTACCCCCGCAGCAGCCTTCCCGAAGCTTTTTTTCCGCAGCTACCGAGCCTCTTCGTTTGACGTGAACGCAGTTTGTCCCTTGGCGAGATATAGCAGGCGACCAGTCCTCTGCCCAACGACCAGTACGTACGTGGCAAGATGCACGTGCTTTTTTTTTTTTGTTGGTTTCGTGCGCCATGTGACGAGCCCCTCGCAGTAGGATGCTTCGGGGCTAGTTCAACATTCCATCATCATGACTGTATTCGGTCCAGTGCCGATTATCCCCCTCATCCAGAATAATACTCATAAATACAGTACGAGTCTACCCTTGTAGTGTTCTTTAAAAGCAGATAACAACGAAGCCGACAATAACGACAGTCATTTATTTATAGTCATGATCATTCACGCCTGTTAGCCACGAGGTTTCTCCCAATGGTTTATGCTTTTACACTTCATTCACAAGCGAACACACTTCTGGAGTTAAGAACGGTTAACCAATTCCAAAATCTCCAAACAACAACAACTTTTCGAATTCTTTGTTGAACGACCGTCTTGCTTTTTTTCCTCTTTTTTTTTTGATCAAGCATTCTACTTTCATTACATCAATCGGTCAGTAAAGACATGCAGATCCAGAAAGTCACACGTTTCTTCAAAACGGCACATCAAATTCTACCCTTCTCAAAAAAAATGAAGAAGAAAGACGAGCAATGGCCTATTGCTCTTTAGACGCACAACAACAGATTTTCATTAATGAAACAAGAATGTACATCATGCTCGAAATACCGCACACGAAGTCTGTATTTTACTATTTTGTTTTGAGAAGCTTTGCATACCTCATTCAATTGAATGACTAATTCATGCAGAATAATTTGACTGAACATTTTGGCATCTCGTTTGATGAAAAAAGCTACCGTGTCCAAAAACTTTTGATCTTGAATTTGTGATAACAAGGCGCCGCTTAGGGTCAGATCCCACGACCCTGAATTATTCATTTTTCACCCTCGATTACGAAGATAAACGGTCAGAAATGAACAATAGGGGCTAGTGGGATCTGGCCCTTATACAGTGACCTTCACCCTTCGCTAACCATTTTGTGTTTTCCCAATTTTGTACTTTGCGCAATGTTTTATGAGGCCCAGTAGAAGAGGGCAATTCATAGATAGTATCCACAATCACATTTCAATGACAGGCACCTTGCAGCCCGCCACCACTTTGCCACCCTGCGAGCGAATGAGGACCTGTCTGGCCTTCGCCTTCATTTATGCTTTGGCCTTCCCTTGCACGTGCTCTGCCCTCTATCTTCAAAGCCCTGATAGGCTGAACAATCCTACTTGGGATCCTGGTGTGGTCTTCGGTAGCCACTCAATCCCGCTCACTACAGTTTACGGATTGAGCGGCTAGCGAATGAGGATCCTGGTAGGCTAAACAATTCGTAAACCGTAGTGGGATCCTGGTGTGGTCTTCGGTAGCCACTCAATCCCGCTTGAGCCGGCTCTGTACACGCGCTAGACTGCCACAAAACTCGTCAAACCGAGCTGCCCCGTAAACCGTAGTGAGAGAGGGAGAAGAAGACAACAAACGAGGGGCTGTGACGAGGGGCTGTGACAAACTGTTTCGTTGGAGTTTCACCCACTCATCAGGAGGTTGAATACATGTATATATGCATATATACACGCATAAACAATAAATATATATGTATATATAATCAAACAAATTGCTGAAGAAAAAAAAAAAGAAAACAAGAAAAAAGAAAACACTGAAGAAACGAAAAAAGAAAACAAGAAAAAAGAAAAAAATATGTTGAACTTCGTTGTGACAGTGGCAATTGGTTTATCTGTGGGATGTGTCATTTGCTTTGTTTGACTGATAGGCCTTCCTCTTCCTCTTCCCTTGTCCTTTCTTTGACTGGATCCCTTTCTCTTTCTCTTGCCTCTGTGAGGTCTGGTTTCCTCCTCCTTTTCTTTACCTCTTTTTTGCCTTTTGGCTGCGTGCAAGTGGGTCCTTGTGACACACGGGGATGGGGGCAGCCAGCGCTCAACCTGTCATCCACGTGGCTGGCCATGCACGTAAGAGGTGATGACAGGCGGGGCTTTCCTTCCTTACTTCTTTCCTCCTTTTTATTTTTGTCTTTTTCCGCCTTTGCGCTCCGATTCACAGTGTGACAATATATAGTCAAACAGAGATAAATGTATTGTTGACCAAAACTATACACTGCCAAATGCAGAGGCATGGTCAAAGATTACTCACACTGAAATTCATGGGACTCTACCCTTATTCTTTTCCATCTCCAACCAAAAATAGATATACCATCCAGCACGACGACAAATCGAACCATTCTACTCTAATGGGAAGAAGTCGGCAGGGGTGAAATGGAGTTTCACCTTTCCCTTGTAGTCGCCCAAAGACACGTCATTTCCGTCGATGTCCTGAAAAGATTTAGTACAATCCCCATTACACCCCCCCCCCCCCCCCCCCCCCCCCCCCCCCCCAAAAAAAAACAAAACAAAAAGGGGGGGGGGGAGGGAAAAAAAAAAAAAGAAGCCACAAGTCAATCCTACAATATGGTTAAATCATATACGCAGACATGACGAGCAAAGTCCCATAGACAGAAAAACAGAGAGAAGCAATAAGTAGTCCATCGTACAGCGTTAACCGGAGCGTACAGCTCGAACAGATTCAGACCAAGATACAGAGAAAAAAAGACAAACAGAGAGATGGGGAAAGAGACAGAGAGAGAGAGAGAGAGAGAGAATGGGGGCGACAGCGCGGGCAGCATCGCATGAAGGAAAGGATCTCGAAAATGCAAAACCAATCGTGAATCTAGGCACTTATACATGAAGGGGAGGGGGGGGGGGGGGGGGGTACATCTGACGGGCCCATTTCCGTAAATACAACCAACCAAAGAGGGCAAAAAAACAATAAACAAGTGATAAATCTTGAACTCAGATCCCTGACCGACAAAAGAATAGCACACGTCATACTCAATACTGTTCTTCTATTTTTGACTGTGACAAGCTTTACTCCAAGCCCCGGAGACACTCACACAACAAAAGAGACAATGGCCGCTCATTTGAGACCCCGTGCAAACTAAGGGCCTCGTTAGACACTCCTTACGAGTTCCTTGAGCCACAAGGACGCCACAAGGAAATTTCCTTGTGCTGTTTTCACTTTTTTTTTCCGCGAATCGTCCCCGAGGACAGGTGGAACGAGCACTTCCTTGTGGATTTCGGGTCCACAAGGAGTGTCTAACGAGGCCCTAAGCCATGAAAATGACCCTACTCCAGTCGGATGTACCGGTTCCGCCGAACTTCCCCGATAAGGGCGGAATAAATAATATCCCAGGACAGGAGGAGGGGCATTTACGATAATTCATGTCTTCTATCTATGGCTATGGAGAAAGGAGAAGGCGTGAAACTAGACGAAGGACAGACGTAGAATGGACCCCCCAGCCAGAGAGAGCATACAGTGACTGAGCCGCGGCCTGAGAACAGATTCACCACGGCATGCTGACCAGCGATTACTGCCCTCTTCCCCCGAACACAACCCACCCTCATTTTGACTGTATGGAACCCGAAATGTAGCTTGTATACATTGTGATCGGGGGAAGACGGTAGCGATTCCAATTAACCCTTTGTCATCGTTAACGTTGGTAACTCACCGTTTGAACGTCTAAGCAACTGTATACGATTACCAGTCGTCCGATATGGGGCGTCGTCGCTCCACTAGACAACACTCTACATGCATTTGGACGCTTTTTGGACCGGATACATGCAGAATGTTGGACTCGCCCAACTGCATCTGGTCCAGAAGACGTCCACATGCATGTAGAGTATTGTGTAGTGAAGCGAGACCTATGGTATAGCTAATATCAAGACCATTTGCGAAGCCCATCAGGTCTCACTCTCCTCCACCACTGTCGCCAATCGGTCTTTTTTTGGCAAAGTCATAAAAATGACACGCGTAATCAACCATACCATTAGAATTCACTATCTTCGCGATTCATACCTCAACGAGAAGAGAGACCAACATTCAGACAGGAAAGAACGTGCGTCTGTTGTCATGTGTGTTAACCAAAGCTCCGCAAGCAACGCACATACGCGTCTACTGTGCGGGTTTCAAGTGTGTATGCGTGTGTATGTCCGTGTGCTTGCGCGTCTTCTGAGTGTGTTGCCTCATCGGACGCAATTCATAATGTCTGGAGAAAAGAGAGAAACAAGCGCCACCTCCCTCTCTCTCTCTCTTTCTCTCTCTCTTTCTCTCTCTCTCTCTCTCTCTCTCTCTCTCTCTCTCTCTCTCTCTCTCTCTCTCTCTCTCT